TTAAAATGTGGTTGCATGAACCAAGCACAAAAATAAAACAGCTATTTATTAATATTGTGTTTAATAATTCATCTTATATCATAGGCCTACATACTGCTAGTGGTATAATATCCACATCACTGTCGTGTCATCAGTAATAATTTTCTATTTTTGTTAAAGTTAATAATGTAAATTTTTATATTTTCTTTTAATAAAGAGAAAATTTAACTACAGTAAATATCTTATGATAATATTAACATTATTTAACGCTACGGTTAGTTTAATTAATAATAGAAATATAAAAATTGATATGGGTCTAATTTAGTTGTGTGCATAGGTCTAACTATAAATAATATGGTATTTCTTTCAGGTTTTCAATCCATTGAAAGGAAGTCATGTTTGTTGCAATATATTGTTCGTGGTAGACACTGGGAAGAAACCAACTAATGAATGTGTATTTATTTGTCTCCTGTTACAAAACTGATGGAAGAGCAGCCATGATGAAGCAGTAAAAAGGTATATAAAATTTTTTTATTTTACAAGAATATATACTGCACATTTGCTAATACCACTATCCCACATCAGTAAGTGACTACCCTACTATGTCACAGTAATAACCATTTGTTTCTTAATTAAGTCTTGGGTACCTAAGAAGTCACAGCATTTGTCTTAATCGTCGTTGTACGAAGGTGATTAATAAGTTAAAATTAATTGGGGACAGTCTAATCGTAAATATTATCTTAACATGCTAAATATTCTCAAACGATAAATGGCACCTAACTTCGTAGTATGATGCTGTCAGAGAAAAATGTATTTAAATCTTTTAAAAAAACAACAAAAATAAACTTTCTATTATTGAAAGATGTGCTTTAAAGTTTGTTTTCAAACTTATTTTGTTCTCCATCCATTCATGTTTGGTGTTGTTCCGAATTATTTAGCAAAACTTTAAATTGTTTTAGCTTAAGTCCATTATTAACCCAGGCAATTACCATACTCTACTACACAACATTTAATTTAATATTTAAACTGAATGAATATGTGTTTTAAGATAAGTGCCACTCCCTATAGAGAAATCTATATAACTGTCCATGTTTGCAATATTATATTCCATAGTGAATATTTTTTAGTATTTGCATCATTATTGGTAATGCTTACAGTACAGTATATCAATGTAGATTGGTCTGGGAAGAACAGTTGTTTCAACTATCTACATAGTATTCAAGTATTTACTATTTTAAAATTTATCATACAAACTTTAAAACAATATTTCAGTCTTCTTTGTTTCAAATATTTTTGTTTTGTTTTTATCTTTCACAAAGGTTCTTGGATACCTTGCTTCAATACCTCTGGTTGGACAAGAAAAGAC